GAGGAAGGGCAGGGGTCTGAGGGAGGAGGGGCAGGGGTCTGAGGGAGGAAGGGCAGGGGTCTGAGGGAGGAAGGGCAGGGGTCTGAGGGAGGAGGAGCAGTGGTCTGAGGGAGGAGGGGCAGTGGTCTGAGGGAGGAAGGGCAGGGGTCTGAGGGAGGAGGAGCAGTGGTCTGAGGGAGGAGGAGCAGTGGTCTGAGGGAGGAAGGGCAGGGGCCTGAGGGAGGAGGAGCAGGGGCCTGAGGGAGGAAGGGCAGGGTCTGAGGGAGGAGGGGCAGTGGTCTGAGGGAGGAGGGGCAGGGGTCTGAGGGAGGAGGGGCAGGGGCCTGAGGGAGGAGAGGCAAGGGCCTGAGGGAGGAGGAGCAGTGTTCTGAGGGAGGAGGGGCAGTGGTCTGAGGGAGGAGGGGCGGGGTCTGAGGGAGGAGGAGCAGGGGCCTGAGGGAGTGGCTGCCGAGAGTTAGGCGCTCACCTCCTCATTGTCACCACTCTCCTTCCCTCTTGCCTCTCTGTCTTTCTTTCTTTCCACCCTTGATCCCTGCTGGATCACAGGATTTTTCTCTCCACCTTAACTGATATAATATAGAGGTAAAAAATAATCAATAAATACCGACTAAAATTTTATGTTTACCCTTCTGAATTTTTAAACAGAAGCCAAGGTGACTCTCTTCTCTTTTAATCCTTCAGACTCCTGGCATCTGACATAACTAAAAACAAAGTAATATTAGTGTAGACATCCTGCTACAAGAGAAATCCAGATGAATATCTTTTCCTTGCCAAATGTGTTAATATTCAAGGCTGCTAGGTTCTCTAATGCCCTCTTCTGATAAGATGGCTCAGGGTCTTGATTAAGATGAACAGCAGGATGAGAAAAGAGAGCGGATAAAAAGACCCCGCCAGTTAGAGCGCACGTGACTAGAGATGTATGTTGCCAATGGCTGCCAATGGCTGTAAAGAGTGACATCCTTTTCTGTTTTCCTGGTATAAGCACAAATTTTAGCATTAGCTCTGAAAAGCTGATAAATGCAATAAAAACGAGAGAGCAGACCGAGTCAAGGGAACTGTGTATGTGAGCACAGAAGCACGTGTATTCTGAGCAGTGTCTCCAGTGGGGCATGTGTTTGCTGAGGCTGCCATTTGTCCATCCTCTCCTGTGGCTCCCCTTAGGGTCAAAGCCACACATAAGCAAAACGCTTGGCTGAGAAGCACCTCTGAACCAGAGCTGTAGTTTACTAGACCATTTACTGGTCCAGAGAGAGACTCAGCACGGGGCCTTGGCCTCATCCCTATCAGATTCCCAAGCACTGAGCTTCAGTGGTCCATACACTAGAGTGCTGTGGCTAACCAGCTATAACTAACAGTATTCATCCATCAATTACACAAATGTGGCACCACAATAGATGCTCTATAAACCTAATTAAAGATAATACGCCAGAAGGTCACAATAAAAAGCAAACTAAAATGAAATGTTAAGAAATTCCACCCAAATGCATTATTCAACTGAGCTCCTTACATATTTTTCCGTTTATTGTTAAATTTAATTTAGATCCTAAATTCTTAGGAGGGAAGAGGGTGAAAGTGGAGACCATAAATTTTTTAAAAATGTCTGGAGGGTGTTAAGTCTATTCTCATGGACACTCCAGGGTACCACTGTGACGACTTCTACAGAGAAAGTTAACAGGGGTTAGTCCAGATGCCCTCAATGTGCTGAGCTTTGTTCTTCTCTCTTTTATGAGGGAAAGAGACAGGAGAAAATATTCTTACACAGATCACATCAACCACATTCCTGGAAGGCCAAATGTCTTCTTAATTCAAAATTTCTAATGAGAACCAGAGAGGATTCTATTACCCCGTTTTTGTTATCTTCTAACCAAATATCTCCACTGCCATGGTCCATTTCCTCTTGAAACCACCCTTTCTCATCCTGCCTAAGTCTTTCTCAGCATTTCTATAGAAGGCCTGTCAGAGCTGATGCTGCTGAGGTTTGTTTACGGTTAGGGTGATGACCAAGCAGATTGCTCAGTCTCCTGCCTTCCTTACCTCCTCTTCTCCCTCCTCCTGGTACTGCTCATCAACATTGTCCTCCTGCTGGTCTGGATTCCCTGCCATCTGTTGAAACAAAAGAGGAGGCTCAGGTTCACTGGAGATGCGTTTTACAGAACTTTGGGACAAAGAACAAGCACGCCACCATGAAAAGGGCACTGTCAATGCATCGGTGGCCAGGAAATGATGAATAATCATTGCCAACACAAAGCCCGAGATGTCTACTGCCCTCTCTCTCTGAGTGCAGGCGTATCATTTCATACAATGGCCTAAAAACCAGCCAAAGAGGCAAGCCTTCTGTCAATGCAGGTTATGACAAGTTTTTGCATATACCAGGCACTTATGAAAATACCTGGGTTAAAACCACCCTCCGTCATGGCATCTGCTTACCACCAAATGCTCCTCCATTTCTGCCTTCTCCTGCTTTTGATTACTTTGTTTTTGCTCTTCATTTTCATCTGGCAAATTTTCTTCTCTCACTTGCTCGGCTTCCTCAAATTCATCTTCACCTTGATTATTAGGGTCATCTGCTGGGTTTATATCCTCTACAGCTGCCCTCTGTAAAATTTTAATAAAAATCAACTGCCACTTCAAAATCCGGAATCAAGTTTAATTTCATTTGAAAGGCCACACACTGGCAGAAAATGAAATTGTCCTTCACCAGCTTGTTCAGATCTGTCTTTGCCAAGACTCACAAGTACACGTCCCACTGTTCAAAGAGGGAACTCCTGCTTTATCTGTCAGAGGCTGATGAATCAGACTGAAGTGCAAATAGCACTTGTTTTCTGCACGTGATTTCAAAATAGTCCTCAAAACGCTATCACAAGCAGTGAGCATAACCAAATAGACAAGAAAAATAGTTAATAAAAGCCAAAAGACCAAGTAGGAGAAATAATTAAAATGGGAGATTTAGATAGGCAAATAGCAAGTTTTGTCACTGGTGTGATGATTTTCATACAGATGAGCTTTCCTTTGTAAGCAATTTTTTATATTTAAGTGGGTGAAAAGCAGTTGAAGAGAGAGAAGGCCCACACCAGAAAGGACCCAAGAAGAGGGCATGTGATGGAGACAAGAAGAGGGCTAATTCAAAAGCCAATGATCCATTTCTAGTATGGATCAAATTTCTTTATGACAAACACTACCATGAAACTGGGAGATGTTGCATCGGCAAGAGACAGGAGAAAAAGAACTGAGCTAACCCAATCCTCAGTGAAATATTTTGAAAAATATCTCCCCCAACCCACCCCACCTCCCAAGTAGTTCTCAGTTACTGTGTTCAACAAATGCCTTTCATATATTATCAACTTCAGAAGTATCTCGATTTTCCACTTAAGCTCCCAAAGCACCTTTCAAAATAACACGTCCTCATAAAGATTTGGATTTTAGAGCCCAAGCTGGGCAGAAATGGTGATGCTTGCATGAGCTTTCCGATCACTAGAGGGTCATCCATAGGACACTTAACTGAAGCAGCAAATGCTTCCTAGAGATGGTGACGCCTCAGAGTAAATTTAGTCTCTATCAGTGTGCTCCAGACAACAAGACCCTACTTCAGTTCACTCTAGAGCCTTGAACACGTTCAAGAGCTCCCCGCAGACTCAGCCGATCCATTTTCTGCACATCCTGGCTGTACACTTCATTCAAGGGCCAAGGACACTATTCTTGGGAATATAGAGAGTGACAAACCATCACCTCACACTAAACTCTAATCACTCCACAATCTCTTGTCATATCGATTTCTTTTTGTGCGTTACCAATAATTTGTGTGGAAATATAGGAAAAATGTAACACATTCTCTTCAGAAAAAAAGTACCAAAAGCTTCTGTAAAAGTTCATAAAAATGTAGACACTACCTCCAACTCTAATCAAGAAACAATAAGTAAAGTTTAACAGGCAGGACTGTTACATTCAAACAAAACAGTTAGATGATCAATTACACCTCAATAAAGTTGGACAAAAATTTTTTTAATAAATAAATAAAATAGCTAGATAAGATGAAAAGAGGGATAAGCCAACTAACAATTTCTAATTAAAAGAAGCCTGGTAGAAAGGCCACCAGTGTGTTCTCCAGAACAAGTAAACTGATGACGGGAGAACAGAGGACCAGACAGTCAAGGAATGAAAGCACACAGCATTTTCCAAAGGCCAGCGATGGGACACTCCTTTCCCTGTCCCCCTCCACCCCTCTCAGGCACATTCTCAGGCTTCTGCACACTCACTTTCTTGCTTTCTCATGGACACTCTCTTGCTCTTTCAAATTCTCTAGCTCTCATATTCTCCTGCTCTCTATAGCTCCTGCTCTTTCCTGAAAATATTTAAGGGCTAGGGTTCCCTGAAGCCTACTGTCAGAAATGCTAATTCAGGGGCTGGCAGGCGAATGCGCTCTGCCACACCTCCATGCAAGTTAGGTGGAAAAGCCGTTCCCATCAAGGTGGCTTTAAGGAGCTATCAGGAAGACTTTCTCAGTGATTATGAAGGAAGGATGTGGATCCTCCTTTCAATCCACTGGATCAACACAAATAGGACCCACATGACAGCAGAGACAGAACTTTATAAACTCGGGGTCGATTTACCAGCAAAAGATGACAGGAGAGCTAAAGTAAGTTGAAGAAATCACCTACACGTAAGCATAAGAACACACTCACTCAACATTTGCTTGTCACTTGTAGGCAAAGCCAAGGCCCCAGACCACCCAGCTGAAAAAAGTTTTGCTCCTTTTTTGGTAAACACAAGGAACATTCCTGGTTATTAGGTCTCCACCTATTTATATTTTAATTTTTCCATAGCAGCATGGTACCTGAGCCAATTGTTTCATTTCTCAGACCACATATCCTTATCCCTGTATTTATTAAACTGGTCACTGACTGTTGGGAGATTACAGAGAGTCACATGACATACATAGCACCCTAGCAGACTGCTCAACATGCTCCATAATGGTTAATTTCCTTTCTCTGGTTCTCTCTCCGACTCCCACACTTGCCTTTTTTTTCATCTTTCAGAACTACTTCATATTTCAATGCCTCCCAATTTTGCTTTTCTCAGTTTTAATTTTATTCATCTAAAAATTGTCAGGGGGAAAACTCCTTTGATGTTTTCCCAGAGCAACCTTTAACCCATTCTCATCACACATACACCCAACCCCCATGGTTTACAGTTAACAACATTGGTCATATCATATTATTATGCAAGCCACCTTCCTTCCATGCTGATGAAGTAACAGACATATCTAGAGTCACAGGTGTGGTGTTAGGCAAACCTTCAAGTTTCCTTTCTGCCTTGCTAGTTTCCAAGTCTCATGATCAGAAAAGACAGGACACTTACATCTGCCTCCGATTCTGGGTCAGCTTCGTGCGGCCCTTGTTCTCGAGGCTCACGTCCATTGTCTGGGTCTTCTTCTGCTTCATCTTGGTGCTGGTTGTCTCTCTCATAGGCTAGCAAATCAAAGGAACTAACATCAACCCAGACGAACCAGACAGGATTCTTCCCTTTCACTCAAAGAAAAGCCACCGGTGAGCTTTCCTAAGACAAATCTCACCCCGTCTCTCCTCCAGTGAGGTTAACTCAACATAAGGCATAGTCTCAGCCTTCCTGAATAAAGTTATGTCCTTGTCCCAGACCATGTGTCTAAAGAGAAAGTGTGGATGAGCGACAGCATTCTAACCCTCTAAAACCAATGTTTATAACAGAAGCTGCAATTTTCTCTGCTGTTACACAAAAAACAACAATCAAAACTTTCTCAACAAAAGAAAACCCAGTCAACTGGACATTGTTAATTATCAACTAATTTTTGGCAATATCAGAGGAAATAATAGCAAGGTACCAAAAGAAGAAATAGATAATGTTTCAGGAAATGAAAGGAAGAACAATTCCATTTGTGGAGCTCAAAACAAACCCAGCCACCCTGTATTCTCTGAAACGGCAGTGATGATGCCACACTCAGACACATCACACATTTATATTCACACAGACACGTACTTGCTGCTTTCCAAGAAAAATATTTCCATAAAGAGAATTTAGATAAGAGCACACAAAGAGAAGAACACACAACTTTTTAAATAAGATATACCAGGAAAGGTTAAGTATATGGAGAGTATTTAGCCTATAGAAAATAAAGACACTGCGTAACCTACCATCAGGTTTCAAGTGCATCAAGGGATTCATTAAATAAAGAAGGGAATGAACCGTTCTCTAGTCTTACTGATAATGGAATAGAAAAGCTTAAAATGCTGCACAGGGGGACATAAGGAAAACAATTTCTGACTGTAACAGCTATAAAATATCAGAACAGGCTTTGGGTAATCATCTTCCCTTAGACTCTTTAGAAAAGGATACATATCTAAGTGTTAGTGTTGCCAGAGAGACGGTACTTTCCAATTCTATTATCACAGTCAGCAATATTTGATAAATTACATACTAGATGTGCACTTAAATGAAACCTGCTACTATTGACTTAATACGAAAAACTTTTAAGGCAATGATCCAAAGCCTCTAAGGTAAGGAGAAAATGTAGCAGTTTTCCAAAATATAATAGTCCTATGGTAATGTGTCAGAAATAACTATTTAGTATACAAAAAGCTTAAATTACCATTTCCTTTCTACTCTAAAATGTTAGAGAGAAAACAGATTATCTTTGGCTATTTTGGCTACCGAGGGACACTGGGAGGATTCAGGAAAACATAACAACAGAAACATGGTACACAAATCTCCTTGCATGTAACTCTGAGCTGGTATTCTATTTTTTTTTTTTTTAAAGATTTTGTTTATTTTATTTTTTCCCCCCAAAGCCCCAGTGGATAGTTGTGTGTCGTAGCTGCACATCCTTCTAGTTGCTGTATGTGGGACTCGGCCTCAGGATGAACAGAGAAGTGGTGCCTCGATGCGCACCCGGGATCCGAACCCGGGCCCCGAACCCGGGCCACCAGCATCGCAGCGCGCGCACTTAACCGCCAAGCCACAGGGCCGGCCCTGAGCTGGTATTCTAAATTACCAAGCAATTTTATTAAAACATTCATCATCTAAGAAGTCTCACCACCTCCTTCCTCTTCCTGGATGCCCTGGTCCTCTGCTCCCTGAACAATATCATTATCCATAGCATCATAACGAGCTTGCTGCCTATGAGGGACACAAACATTATTAACTCAGTGACACAAATTGAGTAGCACACTTTGACATAAGTCACTTATCTTTAAAGAGAGTAATAAACAAAATTTTCTACATTTTTTAAAAAGCCATAAAAATTTTTTTAAAAACTTTCCTGATTAGGCTTACTAAAGATTCCAGATATACTTTCATAAGATACCTTAAAAGATAAAATATACTTTGATAGCACAAAACTTGCTAGGCTCTTTTGAGACTTAAACTATCTTTATTTATTTATTTTTGCTGAGGAAGATTCGCCCTGAGCTAACATCCACTGCCAATCTTCCTCTTTTGTACAAACCACCGTCACAGCATGGCCACTGACAGACGAGTGGTGTAGGTTTGCCCCGGGGAACCGAACCCAGACTGCAGAAGCAGAGTGTGCTGAACTTAACCACTAGGCCGCCAGGGCTAGCTCAAACTATCATTTTTAAGCAGGAAAAAAAATGTTCATTATTTTTAAAATGAAGTACTTGGAATTTCTCAGGTAGTTGTTCTGCCTCAACTACATGAGCAATCTGAGCCCCTCAAGTTCCCAGATAACAAATACACCAAGCTATTCTTAATCTGCTTAGGAAAACAGAGGAGGGGCCGTCCACGCCCATCAGAAGGCTACCGTAGCTGCTCCGGGTGCTGTGGCTGCCCCTCCTCGGGCCCCGCTGGCCTCGGCCGGGCCACCTCTCTGGCGAGGAGCTGCTGCTGCTGCAGCCTCTGCCGGTGCAGAGCCTCCTGCTGCTGTCTCAGCCGCTGGGCCTCCTCGGCCCGCCTCACTGCCAGTCTCTGCTGCTCCAGCTGCTCCTCGTACGGCGATCGGAATCTGGTAACCGGCCTGGCTGAAGGATACACCTGGGGAAAAACGAGTTGGTGCCAAGCAAGAGCAGTCAGAGCCCCCGGTTCTCCCTTCATTTGTTTCTCACCACAAACTCAGGAGTTGGAGTTGGCTTATTAATCCTGATCTGCCAGGGGAGCTGTGATTATACACTGGGTCCAAGGTCACCCAGCGCTGGAACTCCTATTTCCCAACTCACTCTGAATCACCTGTGGCTTCTTTTAGCAGCTGACCTTCCCAATTTGCTGGCATTAAGGCAGATTTTCAGTGTGCTCCCTCTCAAACCGAAGAGGACACAACAGAAGAAACCAGTTTCAAACCTCAGTAAAATTTCTGTTCAAAAGGCTCTGCTATGAGCGGGCACCTGGTAACCTCATACTAACTGGAGCACTTTGTGAGCTGAGGCTGCAGCTAAGGCTTTTCCATCAAGAGTCAACGACCTAGGGATGCTAATTAACTCTAGCAATGAATATACCAACCTCAGGCTAAGCAGAGCCAAAAAAAGGTCAAATTTCAGATTAGGGTAGAAAAGCAGAGAACTAATTTTCTTCAAAGAAGCAAACAATGGGTGAGAAGATAGTATCTTCTGATTAAAGGAAAATCAAGAATTCTTAAACTCTGCTTCCCATTAAACGACCCATCACTCTCTTCTCCACCCCCCCAACTAATACAAGCACACATGAGTCTCACCAAAGGAGAGAGGGTGCGTGGCTGAGGGGAATTAAACCTGGAGAGGAATGACTTGAAGAAAATTATGAGGGACACAAGACCGGGAGAGGCTTCTCAGTGGTACTAAGGTTGCAACAATGTAAGAACGTACCACAGCGGCCTTCACACTTACTCAACCTACAACCTCAAACACCTTGAAGTCTTGGAAATTTGAGGCCAAAGCTTCAGAGCTAGAAATAAAAGGTGACAGCATCTATGGAACAGCCAAGCAGCCTCTTGTTGGGTATCACCCTAGAGACAGTGAAGAAAGGTATCTGGCTGCAGGCAGTGTTGCTGTAAGCTCTTCTAAAGTATCATTTATTGTAATAAAGGATGTTTTTTATGAATCTTACTTATGTGAGAGAGCAGTGCTCAGGAGGGGGAGCCTGAGCAGGGACTGGGTAAACATACTCACCCAGCGGAGTAGCCCTAAGTGATAAGATCAGCTTTTTGATAACTTACTAACCACCTTGAAAGTGAATGTGCAAAAGCCAACATACAATTTGACAGTAAATGAACAGGGAGAAGAGGACTGATCAAGAAAATGAGACACTTCTCAACCTCAAGATGCCCCCGGGCCTTGAGCACAAACTGGGAAGGTGCCCAGTCAGGCGCTCACCTCTCCTACAGATGGAGGGATGTGAGCATGAGTCTCCCTTCGTGCGCACTGTTGGCAAAGGGAAGACACACAGACACCAACAGCTCTTTCTCTTTTCCCCAGCCCTCTTTCTGAGGGATGTAAGTAGCTATGCTACTAACATTACATTAGAGAACTTCGATATGTGCATGTAACATTTAGTAACATCACTCAGATTTTATTTTAGAGATTTTCGTATATGGGGAGGCTTTTTCTTTAATATTTAAAAACAAACCATGCTCCCTATTCCAGCCAGCAAAACATCATCCCAGCCGACCTGAAGTGGATGACCTCGCACCTGAGCATGAGCGTGCCCTTCCAGGAGGTTGCTTTCTTCTTTTTGTTCACGCTGTTCCTTCCACTCCCGATCCTGCTCCTCTGGGGATGGATCGTGCTCCTCCTCGAGATGCTCGGCCTGCCCGACCTGCTCCATCGCCTCCTCCTCGAGGGCCTTTCTGTGCTCCTCTTCCACCTGATGCTCCTCCGGCTCTCTGGGTCCCGCATCTTGCTGGTTCAGCCCTGCGGGAGCCTGAAATCCCGCCACCTTCTGGGTGGGAGAATAAGGTTTTGTTTCTTCTGTTCTTCCAGGAACTGCTTCATGCTCCCGCCACACATCACTATCTCGAGACACCTAGGCCAAGCACATCACTGGAAATGACACTCTTCCATTTCAGAAGGAGTGACATAATTTATTACCATGTCTGTGGGGTTACAACATAAGCAAAATCCTGGATTCTAGAAATAGAGACTCCTGACTGAAAAGTGTGGCTGTCATGGAGCCACTTAACTCTTCTCACTGTGTAATCTCACCTATAAAATAAATATAACACAAGCAAAATTTCATCTCGGAAAGACTACAGTAAATAACCTAAAAGTAAAGCTTACGAGTGACCACATCTCAGTAGCCCCTTCCCTCAAACACAGTCTAACTCCTGTTTTCTCATGGAATAAAAAAAAAAACCCTCAAACTTCAAGTGATGAATGTTTACATAATTTTCCTCAATGTAAATTTTGTTTTCAATAATTATTTGAAAAGATTAAGATAAGATCAAATTTAGGATGAGTTGGGTTTATTTTTTATTAGCTAATAAAAAAAGAACGCCAAACACCATTACTACTGGAATCCACGTTAGCTAAAAATAGTGCCCATCAAACCAGACACAATAAAACATTTTTTAACGTATTAAAGTAGTATTTCTTCATAAACCACAGGAAGTCTTTTGTAAATATTTTGTATTGTTAATACAAAAAACTCTGAATGGAAAAAAGATGTCTTTTTACAGAGAACTCTTCTCAAATTGGTTGATTTATATCAGTTTTCCCTACAAGTTTCAGAGATTTCTATACGGTCTTCATGACTTAGAAAAGAGAGGCGAAAAAGAGATGCTATAATATCAACAGAAAAATTTGTCACTCCCCGCCCCCCAACTCTCTTTATCAGAAAAATAACGTCTTTGGTCAGACTGCTTTCCCATAACTGAAATAAATGCGAAGCCTTCTTTTCAAATTAGAAGAAACATAACTGAGAAATTGGTTTGTATAAATAAATAAACTGAGGAAAAAAGTCCGTTCTCAGACACCTGAGGACAACTTTTGGAGATGGACATTTTACTAACACGCTCGCATATCTGGCAAGTTTGACATGATATTATTGCCCTGGCTTTATAAGAAATATTTCTCTGAAGAGCCCTAAGTGCTTTTAAACACCTGTCATTTATCTCCACAATGTCGCTGTGAGAAACGTTAGAGCAGATAGCTCCTATCTCCACCTCACAAATGGAAAAACTAAAGGTCTGAGTCATTAAAAGATTAACCCAGTAAACTGGTAGTCAAACTAGGACAGAGAAGAGAACGAATTCCCAGGCCAGGGATCTGGTCCTGTTTTCTCAAGTTAGTAGTAGCATAAGACCCAGACACAGAACAAGCATCCATGAGGACACAGAACACGTCTGTGAAGGAACGTTCTGCGTGGACTGAAGAGTCATATCAACTCCACTCCTCTCAACTTAATTACTCCCAGAAGACGGTAACTCGGGGCAAACTTTCCCAAACATTCAATGTTACCAACAACTTTGTCAGGGTTTAGATAAGCATACTTGCCATTTTATACACATGTGATTGCAAAAACAACTTGGAAAGAATTCAGGATAAGGGTGACACTACTTTTGATGTTCCACTTTGAAATATTCTTTAGCAAGGATTAATCTTTATGAAGAATTTTATGAATGAATACAGAAAAGTGGATTGACAGAGTAGCACCTACACCCATGGCAGTTTTATAAAGGTCTTTTAATACAAATTTTGGCATGTTCTGGGGGGGTGGGTCTAGCACTGCATTAACTTCAGCTGAATTATCAACTTTAATACTTGAGTGGGCTGACTGTCATATAATATCCTTATGATCAATTAACCTTCTCACTCTACTCCCCCCACAAGAAAACCCTTAAAAAGCTCAGACATGACAGCACCTTTCCAACAAGTAAACCCACATGAATAAAAACAACGCCAGCAGAGTCTCCCCCAGAAAACAGTACAGCATTAGTTCTCAAAGTGCACCTCCCCAGACCAGCCAAATCAGAAATGCAAATCCTCAGGCCTTACCCCAAATTAACTGAATCGGAAACTCTGGGCTGGAGCCCAGCTATCTGTGTTTTAACAGCCCTGTTGGGGACTCTGATACACACTAAAATTTGAGAACAACTATTCTGCAGGAAGAGTTGGCAATATTTTGAGCAGTTCACCTGATGACAGCTTAACGAGGAAAGTGACCCGACCACGGATTACTAGTTCACACCTCTTACCTCCCGTGGCTCTCCAGCTGACTTCTCCCTTGCTGTGCTGTCACCTTGTGGAGAACGTGCCACCTGGGTAAAATTTTGCTGCTCTGCTTGTTCTGGTTTTCGAAAGCTTGGAATCTTATTCAGAGTATCTTTCAGTTGTTTATATTCTGCAACTTGAGTCTGCACATCAGTTGCATAATTGGATGCAAATTGCACAGTGTGAGGAGGGAAAAAGATATTATTCATGGATGGTTCACTGGAAAACTAGACAAAAATTTATAACTAAATACAAGTTAGGAAAAATATGCAGATTGTTTCCATGCATTAGCTATACTTACTTGGACATGCTTAACCACTTTTAAGCACATGCAAATTAGAATTAGAGTTAAAGGGGACAGAGAAAAAATATATGACAGATGTTAGTTTCCCATGCTACATTAAACAAAGTCAGAATTTTTATAAATAATTTTCTAGTATAAATACCATTATTAAAAGTAAGACAGCTATGCAATCAGTTTTATGGCATTAAAAATATCTATTAAAAAATTCCACAATTATATAAATACAATCCCAGATATCTTTTACCAATATGGTCTGAGTAACACTTTTCAGTGGAAAGGAATCATAGGTCTAAAATAAGTAACTAACTACATATATATATAAAATCACTCAGACCACCCTCTTCCCCCAGTCAATTTGTGCTCAAACAGGGTTCCTTACTCTCCAGAACACTTCCCATATTGTGCTCCGTGGTTTTGGAAAACAATAGCACAGGCGTGAAATTAGGCTCAATTCTGAATGTCCTTTTCTTCTAAAGTGATAAAGGTGCTAATGTAGGTAGAGGACTAGAATATACTCATATCAGTGTATCTGTATGTATGTGTGGTGGGATATGTGGGTGTGTGTGTCTGTATGTGTGTAATATTTTTAGTATAAGGATCTAAAAAGGCAGAGAAAATCAAATACTTTAACTAAGACAATCAATAGACACTGTTTATACTTAGCTCGTCATATGCACCAACACCATTCTCCAAAGACAGAAATGCTGTGTGTAAACACACATTTACATAAACATGTACAAAGAACACAGAAGCCTTTTCTGAACAAGCCTCCCAGACAGGGCTGCCTCCCTCGGTGTGCAGAGCAGAGCGGCCCACGGAGGCTGGAGTCCAGCCGGCACTCCCGCTGCCACATCCATGCACCCTGCCCAGGAAGAGGCGCCTTTCTGCCTTTTTCTAATTCACACGAAGGTGAAGAAGTCTGCTTGCCAAATCTGTCTCAGGGGAGTGCCTCTTTATAATGTGTACAAAGGTGTGCCATACGGCTAACAGCGGCCCTTAGCCCAAAAATCCATCAGAACATTTGCAAACCAACTTTGGAGGTCAAATAAAAAAATAAATGACATCCACAGAGTGATACTTTTAATAAGATAAATATGGAGGAATACACAACCCTTATTTCTAGGCTTTCTTCTTTCTTCTCCTCCTATATATATAGAAGGCAGTAATGTGGTGGTTCTCAAATATCAGTGTGCATTAAAAATCATGAAAGGATGATGTTAAAAATGCAGGCTCCCAGACCCCCACCTTGAAATTCTGACTCAACAGGTCTGGGCCAAGGCCCAGGTAACTGATGCAGGGAAGTCTCCAAAAACACCGGTGGGCTTAAGAGTGAAGCGTAACTCTGACGTCAGGATGACCTAAGCTTCAAGCTTGTTTCCTGGCCCAGCTACTTTATTCCTTCTGACCTCACTTTATTTAGTTATAAAAAGGGTACAATACTATATAGAACTCAGTAGGTTGTGAATATTAAATAGAATTCTGTATATAAAGTTATTATGACATCCCTGACAAATTGTAAACTCAAACTCTATTCTGTTCTTGCTTTCTCCCGCCTCAGTTACACTTAAAAATCAGGTTGTCAAGACAGGATCTCATAAAATGATTTACATGAGAAATGTAGACGCTGAGACAGCATTTGTCTTCTAAGGAGATTTGGGGAAAGTTTTAATACAGGGATTAGAAATGGAACTCTAATGAAGTATTATGTCTAGTTCTGGCCTAACTATCAAAAAAAAAAAGGCAGGGCAAACTTGGAGACCCCTCCCAAAAGAGCCAAAAAGATATTTAAATAAATAGAAAATTATATATAGGTTAAATAAAAACATTTTTTTCCTATACAAAACCCTGTCAGTAATACTTCTAGTGTGTTTACTACAGAATCTGGTTTTGGTCATTAAATGAACTATTTTGCTTATATTTCTCTGGATTGTCAAATCGTTGCTTACTCTAATAGTTACGGCCACGATAGCACAGAGTATTCAAATTGATTTGTCACATTTTTCAGTATGGAAAATAGCCTCATATAAAATAATGCTTGGCAAAAATTTTATAAAGAAATTTTTGAATGAAATAATCTCCTCTAAAGCCAGTTTAATTTATACACATGTAAAGAATTACCACACAGCTACAGTTTCATGGGGAGACACCCAACCAATGACGATCTTGAAATGGCATCCCACAAACACAGATGCTATAGCCTCTGAGATGGGCCAGGGCCCAGCATATCACACTTTTAATAATTTTATAACAAAAAATAACACTTTGTCTCCTGATAAGTATAGATAGTTGGTTTTCCTTTGCCCTTTCCTCTTAATTTTTCCAAGAGAAAAAAGTGAAGACCTAGTGACTAAGAAGATATGGTGACTAAGCCCACCATTCCAATTTCTCTGCTTCCACTGGAAAGCTGTACAACACTCAGCATGATATTGCTTTAATAAGTGTTCCAACGCTTGCATTTGTCTGCTTGTTCATTCAGTAAATATCTGCTGAGGGCCTGCCTTGTGCCAGGGACTGTTCCAGGCTTTGAACAAATGGAGCTTACGACTCTTGTTTTTCCTTCTCTACTGACATGAGATCTTATTTTCTGTAATTTGACCAATAGCACATAAGCCTAGTCCCAAAAGGAGTGTGTAGGCTGAGATGCTCAGAACAAGGAGAGGAGGAATGGAAGAGAAAGTCTGACAATAATTAGGTAGCTGGCCTCATAAAATCCTATGGATCATACAGCAAGAGTCAACACAGGTCAGAGAGTGGCAAAAGATCGTAGATAGGGGATAACTGTGATTTAAACAAGTACTAGTCTATTGCATGTAGGGGCTGACGGAGGGTAGAAATAGTCATATGCACCACACTATCAGTGCAAAGAACAATCAAAGGTTGTTTAATATTCTCTTAATTGAATTTTGAAAGCATGCACGATCCTCCGGATCAGGATAGCTCTGTCCTAAGGAACCCCCTGAAGACTGGCTGGTAAGAGGCTACATGCATAAAGGAATTCGGAAATGTTAAGCAGACTTTACAGAGAACCCAGAGAGGCTGCTACCCTTCTAACCTGTGCAGCAGCTAGTGCACTCTTGTGGTCTTCCAAAGTCACTACAAGTTGTTCATGCTCGGAGAGTAAATTCTTATGCTGTTGCTACACGAAAAAGAATTTTACACGTTGAGTTTTAACATTCTAAGATAAATTCCACTTTAGCTGACAGTGGTGTGACCACCCAAACGTTGCTTGCTTGTCTGTTTGTCTGTTGTTGTTGTTGCAGCATTTGTTAAGTTTAAAAATCTTTGTAGAGGGGCCGGCCCGGTGGCGTAAGCGGTTAAGTGAGCGCACTCTGCTGCGGCGGCCCCGGGATTGCTGGTTCGGATCCCGGGTGTGCACCGACACACCACTTGTTAAGCCATACTGTGGCGGCGTCCCATATAAAGTAGAGGAGGATGGGCACAGATGTTAGCCCAGGGCCGGTCTTCCTCAGCAAAAAAGGGGAGGATTGGCATTGGATGTTAGCTCAGGGCTGGTCCTCCTCACCAAAAAAAAAAAATCTTTGTAGAGAAAAGACTACAATTACTGAAGTATTTCAAAATCTAAAATGTGCTACCCAAATATCATAATCATGTACAATGAAATAAAAACAAAATGAAGAAATCTTTCATTATTAATAAACCTTTGTAAATAAAAAGCTTATTAAAATTCAGCCATCTAGCAAGATGTACTAATGAAAATGTTTGGATTTTTCAGATCATCTTTTGGCTTACGATGCAGAAGTGGTACAAGTAAAACTGGACAGATTCCAGTTTATGCAAAGCCCAAAATAACAACGTGGATTGTAAAGCGAGTCAGCTGGGGAGTGACTTTTACAGTCATTCTGAAGTACAGCAGGCAAACAGCAACAGCCAGATGCTGAGTTTTCCTTTACCTTGACGTCTTGGAGCTGTGTGTGCATGTCTTGGTGGGCTTTCCTCAGCTGTCTATTCTCTTCTCTCAAATTGTACACAGTTTCTATTTCAGAACGAGAAAAATGATGCATAAAGCCTTGAGATTTTCAACCTTTGGATTCTATTATTTTCATATCTAAAGCTTCACACAACTTGTTTTAGGATTTGTTTTGAACTTTGACAGTACAATATTCCAAATCAACAAAAACTGTCTTGTTTTGGCATGTGGCCTGGACAATCCAATACAATCTGGTTGAGTAGTTTACATACTAAACGTTTAAACAAGCTACACAATGTAGAAGAAGTTAAGGATTTTTTAATTATTGAGGAGTTAAAAATGAAATATATCTGCTAACAAGCAAGCCTTTAGGAATAAAATGTAATGGGCAAGGTGGTCTAAGATTTGAGTCTCTTCTCAAATTAAAAAGTTACCAAAAAGTACAAACCCTATTTCTCATAGCATGAATAATTTCCACAGATCCCAAAAGGTATTTCACTTACAAAGGCAACTCAATAATAAAAGGAGGGACAGAGAGAAACTCCACTTACCTGTTGAAAAATTCTAAATATATTTTCTCTCTCCTACCATTGAGTTTTTGACTGATCCAAATCCTCCCTCCAATAGACAGGAGAGTTCTTTCCTGGGCTATAGTGTGAGCTGTAGCAGTCAGAGTGAAGACCTAGAATTTCCCCAATCTCACACCCTACTGTTCAGGGAACAGCTTCAGTGACTTAAAGATTCTCGACCCCTTTCCTCACATTCCATGTATCTGGACATTAGATGTCATGAACTGGCAGCCTTTGGGCTGAATCCAACTCACAAATAATTTTTTTTTGCCCCTGCTGTGTTGGCCTATACAGTGTCTTCCACATTTTAATAGTTGTCAACATTTAAAAATCAAGAATCTGGGTCTAATAAGATCTGGTAACACCAGGCCAATTCTCACGTGACAACACTGAGCAGAAGTTGAATGGTGGCAGGGTGACAATATAATTCATTTTTCCATGGGAGATACTTCCGAGAGTGAACAGGGACTCTAGGATGGCAGGTGTAAGCCTAGCCTGTGCTGGGCAAACCATCCCTAAGTGGCAGTCACCCTCTGCAGACAATACCTGAACTCTCCAGCGTGGCACTCAGCAAGGAAGGAAAGTGCCAGTCACCTTCTCGCATTGTATTTTCTTTCTTTTTAGGCCCTGCCTGACCCCTGGGCATTGGACTGATGATTGGGTTTAGGGGAGAGATCAAGAGCAAGACAGGAAACGTGGCCAGCGACTGGGTTGTCCACCTGCATGTAATAATGGATTTTTTCAAAGGTCACAACAGGACGCCACTGGCAATCCCAAAGGGCCGTAAGGGCGCCGCTGGCTGGCTGGGGCTTCAGTACACACGCACACACGCACACACAGAAATACACGAAATACCCAAGCTTTGCTAGCTTTTAAAGGGATTTCAGATTATAAACTTAATGGCAGTGGCTCCCGTGCCTTTGCTGTGTTACCTTGAGCAAGTCATTTAAGTTTAGTAGGCTTCAATATTTCATTTGTTAAATTAGGCTAAATATAATGCCTACCTTACAGGTTGTTATGAGAACGAAATAAGATTGCATGAAGAGTTTCACCCAGTACTGGCACATGGCAAACATTTGCTGAGCATCAGCTATTATTATAACAATAATGAAGGGAATAATTATCCAAGCTTCTACGCTATCAGCTCACAGCTATACAAAGTCTAAATGCTAAATTCTCTCCTCATATCACATGAAACCACCAAAGACTACTCAGACTACACACCCTACAGTTTGCCACTACTGCCCTGCATCCATCACAATATGCTTTCACTTACTATCTTAAGCTTTTATCAAGGACTATAATCAACAAAGTGCTGATGTGAAAACTGCTTATAAAAGTGTCATCAAAGGCGCCATCACACTCTGTTGTTTAAGGTCTGGGAAATTCTTTCCAAAAATTAATTGGTACCAGAAATACTGTTCTCTCTCTCGCTCTCTCTTTCTCTCTCACTCTCTCTGTCTCTCCCTCACCCCCACGGTATTGGTACATTCTCTCTTTCTGATGACAAGAGCCCTCTAACTTACTGTATTTCCCCTTTTGTCCTAGGTGCCAGGAAGTTCAAACCAGGTTATGAGGTTTGAATTATCTTAGTACGCAGAACTCACATACATGTGTCTCCCTATTTTCCATGGTTCTGATTTCTTGTTAAAATTTTACTATACATGGACTTTGTTTTAAAGAAAGGAGTAAATATAGAGTAGACATAAGAAAACATGCCCTTCAGGACTATTGCTAACATTAAATAATCTAAATTATGTAAAGTATGCCAAGCAGAGGTCAGGTATCTAGAAAGTTTTATTTCTCATTCCTTAATGAACCAACTTATTATCAGTATAATTGAATGTATTTACTCAGCTTAGCTCAGGTTTGCAAATGCTAAACAGTGAATCCAATAAACCCAATGTCCCTTCTCTCGCCAGCCAAAGTGGAGCTTCCCCAGGCCCAGCAAGTGCTCTCTGATGCTGGAGACCTCTGTTCTCCCCTCCTTTCACTGCGTTTGTGAGGACTTTCTGTGTTCAGTCTTTCTTCCTTTCTCTGTTTTATCTTCAATGACCCCTCACCATCTGCCACATCACCAACAAGCCAAGGCCCCATGTGTCCACATCTCTTGGGTATCATCTGCTGACACCTGGCCCAACTCAATCAAGGCAACCTCAACCCTTGGTAAGCTGCCTCAATGGCTACTTAACTCCCATGCGCCTTTTTGTTGTAACCTATTATTTTGAAATACTTATAGACAAAACATTGCAAAAAAAAGTACAGAGAGGTCCAAAGTACCCATCACCCAGCTTCCCTCCATGATGACATCTTACATAAAACCAGGAAATTGTTTGGCACGGTACAATTAACTAGACTACAGACCTCACTCAGATTTCACCATTGTTTTTGCAAGGACCATGTGCCTTTTAAACCAATTCTCACACTTTAAACTTATTTAGCACCTGAACAGGTGATTGTAGAATATGCTATTTCCCTTTTCCAGAACTCACATGTACTCAGAGAAGTGATACATTTTGTTCCATATTACTATGAAATGTAATACGCTGATCATGACGGCAGTTCGTGTATATTGAAGGTTTACCATGTACCAGTAACTGTTCTAGGCACTCTACATAAATTATTTAATCCTCACACCAACCATATGAGGTTGATACTTTTTATGAGTACCCTAGTTTCATAGATGGAGACAATGAAGCCTGTGGTGATTACATAACATGGCCATGGTCATATAACCAGTAACTGAAGAGGCCAAGATTCACCAGGGCAGCCTGACTCTAGAGCCTGCGCTTTCCGAAGCTACTGTTAGCAGACAACAGGGAGCCTTCCTGCCCCTCTGGAGATCTGGAAATGCATGGGGCAATTTTTGATCATCACAATGACTAGGCAGCATTGATGGCATTTTATGGGTAGGGGCTAGAGATGCTAAATGTCTCGCAACACACATGAAAAGAGACCTGTCTTGCCCATCATGGCCAATGTGCCCTGTTGAGAAACACAGTATTCTATTCTGCTTCCCTAAACAAACCCAAAGAGATCAGGATAGATATGAAACGTTACAAAGAAGTTAAGTGGCTGGTAAAGGGCCACATGATAAATGTACATCAATCACCACACAAAAAACAAACAAAATATAACAAAGTCTACTGTTTTGTTGAAATACTTATTTCATACTAATATGAATACTTATTTACATATAAACTGGCTAATTAGATTTCCAGATACCTTTTAGCTTAGAAAGTTCTTGTTCTTTCTCTTGCTGCAGCTGCAGGTATTTCTGCTTGTGGTCATTAAACGTCCGGCTGAAGTCTTCCCCTTGTCTGCGATGCTCCTCTTCCAAGTCGCTGTGCTGTTTCTTTAGCTCCTCGTGTTGACTCTGCAAAGATGAAAATTTGAGCAGAGGTGGACATTCTCTAAATTATATCAGAGTCTATTTCTTGACAGCATAGCCTTTCCCTTGCAAGAAAGTAAGCACCAGTGAAGAAGTGAAGAGGGCTTCGTTTTCCTCGGGGCGCTTTTTTTTTTTGTTTGTTTGTGAGGAAGATCAGCCTTGAGCTAACATCCATGCAAATCCTCCTCTTTTTGCTGAGGAAGACCGGCCCTGAGCTAACATCTATTGCCAATCCTCCCCCTTTTTTGTTTCCCCCTTTTTCTCCCCAAAGCCCCAGTAGATAGTTGTATGTCATAGTTGCACATCCTTCTAGTTGCTGTATGTGGGACGCGGCCTCAGCATGGCCGGAGAAGCAGTGCGTCGGTGCGCACCCGGGATCCGAACCCGGGCCGCCAGTAGCGGAGCGCGCACTTAACCACTAAGCCACGGGCTGGCCCCTCAGGTCACTTTTAATTCATGCAGCCCCCTTCCATTTCCCTCACATTCCAAAGGAATAGTTTGGGATCACAACCAAAAAGAATTTTCTCCTAAATTTTTAACATTAATGTGAAAAACAAGAAGTTAGAAGTTTGCATGAGAGATAGAAAAGAGAGGGATTTGGGGAAATTCTCAGGGACTCAAATTACTGTGGAAACAAAATAAGGCTAATGGAAAAATTATCCCTCCCTGGATACTCCCGACTTCCTCTTTCAATCTCATGTTTGCCCAGTAACATTTTCGATTTCCTTTCTTTGATTTTCTCCCTTCTTGGCAACCCAGTTTAAAGAAGAAAAAAGAAAAAGACTCTTTTCCCTTTTGGGGAAGTAATAAACTTATTGTTTATACAATGATTTTTATTTATCTTAATCCTGATGATAATACCACGCTGTAATCACAATCTAGATAAATTCTCCAGTCTCCAAAGGCTTAATGTGAAAGGATGGTCTGCTTTAATTCATGTATGGCTTTCTTGATAATAGGAAAGGTTCTGGTTTCAATAAACAGCACACACCCTGCTGATACAGGAGGAAAGACATAGCTGGGCGCTGCAGGGTGCGGATCGCGGCCTGGTTTCCCGCTGTGCTGAATGCATAATGGCAGGCGCTCATCTCCTCTAGCTTGACAGAAATAATGAATCTCTCTCTCTGTTTTTATTTTATTCTTTTTTAGACTTCCTGATACACAATAATAGTTTTACCCAAGAACCAAGGAAGGAGGATCTTTAACATAAATTGTGTTCCTGTGGTCAGTAAAAGGACACATTAAATATTAGTAACACGAAGGAAGCATTTTAATAGCTCTACTGTCTCCTGTGCATCTAAGATAAAAGAAAATATCTAAAGAAAACGACTGTGAGAAATTAAACAAACAAACAAAAAGCCTTAAAGGATAAAGAGAAGAACAACATTAAAAATTAGGTCACCAGAGAGCCTGATTTATAAGAAAATGTGTAATAAGGTAAATATGTTCTTTGTAATTGGGTGATAAATATGATGGGGCATTACAATTATACATCATTTTTAGCCAAACATGACTTTAACGTACCATATTACAATACAAATCAACTTGCTGTAAACTTTCCTTAATCACCTAAGTTAGTTAATCCTTCCACTCACTCATGAAGAACAACTTTAAATTACTCACTTTCAACATCTGATGTTGCACATTCAATGCACTGTATCTACTATTGGAATCTTGCTGTAAATTGAAAAGAAAATAGTTAACACAAAGATAAAAAGATCTGGCTCTTTTGCTAAATACAGCTTAAAGCTCTTAAGAGAAGAATTTCATTTATTTCACTTGTGCAACTAAAATGAATTCTATGCTTGAACCAGGATGTCTCTGAGGCCATCTCTTTATATAATAGCAGAAATGAGGTTTTAACATTCCCATAAGTTTGCTAGACTTCAGTAATGAAAAAGCAGGCCATGGAATCATAAAACAGAGCTTGACAGGGCCCTTGGAGATGACTGACTTCCACTCTCATATTAAGAAGAACTGAGGCCCAGATGCACGGAGGAGCTTGTCCTGAGACATGGTCACCGCTTATGGCTAATACACGGTGCCAGGTGCTCCAAAGGGGAAGAGGGAAACCAACTAGGACCAGGTCTGACAAGCTTAGCACGGCTTAAGGGAGGGAGAGAAAAGGCGCTTTCCTTCCTTGAGCTTCAGTGGGTAAGAAATTCTACATATATCACTCTACTTCAGTGAGACTCCATTTCACCGAGTGAGAAACTGAGACAGGATAAGGAACAGGCCAAGGGCAAACATTTCCTTTAGTGGCAGAGCCAGGACTGAAACTTGAGCCTAAGCCTATGGCCGACCTCCATGCTCCAGTAGCACATCTCTGTGTCCTAGTGGAGCATCTTCACATGTGGACCTCACACGTTCTCACAGTCCTGGGCAGCCATAACCAGCCAGTCTACAAAAGACGCCTGGATGTTCTCTCTCCAGGCTGCGTTTTTCTATCTTAGGGGCCACAATCCTCACTCTACCCCATCGCCAGCACAAGGGCACTGTGAATCATTTTTTTAATTCATATTTTACAACTTCTAAAAAGAACTGCATTTTTGCTTTATCACTTTATTTTATGGCTTTACTATTTTAATTTATAAGAAAATTACATTATAAAATGCACACCAGAATGCACACAGTTTTGATTAGGGCTTTTAAAAACAAGTAAGAGCTGAAAGCTAGCTGAGAGCCTCCCGGCTACCCAAGGAACTAACTCTTCTCGGTTTTAATACCCCAAAATGTCAATATTTTATTCAAGTAATGCTTATACTATTTTTCTTAGAATAAGAGAAAGACTTGTTTTTCTCCAGTTAATTTGCATTTAAAAAAAATTTTTTTAATGCCAATATCATCTATTCATTCATTCATTCCTCAAATGTTTTTGAATGTGGACTCCAGGCCAGGGACTGTCTTAGACATTTCACAGTCACGTCTGTGCAAGTAAGAGTAATGTTGTGCAAAGGCAAACCAAAAACCTATTACATTCTATAAAAAAGAGAGACTACCAACAAATGAACAAATAAGTGCGTAAAAATAATCTCTCTACTGTAGAACATTAAGGCCATTCCCAATGTATCGCTATCATCAATAATGTGATAAGCAAAGGTAGTATTTAAAAGAACAGTTTTTAAGGTCTTCTTGGAATTTTTTGGTAGTGAAAAAAAAAAGTACTTTAGCCCTATAGTCCTAAGGATCAACAAGAGTAAAAGATTTTTCCATTACATTTCCCTCTCCTTTAAGTTTCATGAAAAAAATTAAGAAAAAAAACTTACCCTTCCTTTATTTAGTGTTTCTTGTGCTTCTAACTTATAAACAAGAAAATCTAGAAAATACAATATGAAGAAAACAGAGAGTAAGTTAATTCATTGTGAAATTTTTAAACATCTAAAAGAATAAAGGCAAACTTTACTCAGACATAAAAAATGTTTTAGGTTTAAAAGAATCTACTTGGTGACTTACTTTATTTTGCCTCTTAATGCTTTAGAAAGAGTTGAAAAAAACTATTATATAATTTTCCTCTTTACCTTAAGGGTGTAAATCTTAATCATCTAACTGATTAAAAGTGCATTTAGAATGTGCACTCTGTGATTCACTCTCCTTGAAATTAAGGAGAAAAAAACATGAAGCACACCTAAAGACAGAGACGATTTATTGCTATCCACTAGATGGCACACAAAAAGCATGTAGGACCTGGAAAGAGGAATCGAGCCATGGAAACCATCTTCAATGCTCCTAAAGCTTTATTATCCACTAGATGGCCCTATAAAATCACTCTGCATTTCAAGATAAGGAAATCCAAATCCTGTGGAAGCATTTTAATGATGTTAAACTTCTACTCTCCACACAGGCTTAATCCAAGTGTCAGTACAAGATCCTAACCACACTGCCCTCCCCAGCTCTCCTCTCCTTCTACCCCGCACCAGGGTAATCAGACAGAACACCTACCGTAAATCTCAAGATTTATCAGAAAACATGATGAATAAATAAGAATGCAGATAATTTCAAATCACAAGCTATATAAAGCCTATGCTTTATAGAAAAATTCCAATAAAAATCAATAGCACTGCCTAATGCCTGTGCTCAATGTTAATTTTTCAAACCGAACCATCAGCTGTGCCAAAAAAAAGCCTTCACAAGATAAAAACAAGTGCACAATTTAAAAGACACCATACAATGTGATCAACTCATTATGTTATAAATGTGTGTGTGTGTGTGTGTGTGTGTGTACATATATAAATATAAAATCTGTCATATTCTGAACAACGTATGCTGCTACTTTCCGGATACCTGTGGACAGAAGTTCCATGTATGAGTAACATGTGTGTATAATACTCAGATGAAAAGCTGTTTGGTATTTCTGAAATAATATGTATAACCATATTATTATGAGAACTATCTCAAGGTGGCACAAACTGAATGGAAGATTCTAAACCTAATCCTGAGCAGGAATTAATTTATTGCATAATGCAGAGTATACTGCTTGACATCTCTTTGTCGGTCCACCTATGAAACTGACTTTGGGTTGATTTGAAAGACTTTTTAGCAAAAACATGCAAAAACATAGTACAGCAAATGCATGATGCTTCAGTGAAGACTATGGTAAAAACATGGAACACAAATTATATTATGTACTTACCTTCTTTTGCTTTCTTATGTTCAAGTCTTTCCTTTTGCAAGGATTTCTCTAATCTTGATCTGTGTTCATACACAACTGGAAAAAAAAACAGGAGTTAAAATTTGTTTTCAAAGAATTAGAAATTCTAAAGTAAAATTAACATCAATTTTCAAAACAGGCGGAAAACAGTATAAGGTCCTCTCACAATTAAAATAAAAATGGATGTATTATAAGTTCCACATTCTGGGTAAAAAATAGATGCAACAACAGACGTAATTCTGTGCTGACTCCTCTAGAGTCTGCCCCTTTATAGAACCAGTACTCTGAGAGAGGGTTTCCACCTTCTCTGCCAGCTCCCTTTCCTTCCCCTGCTTCCCGGGCTCCTTCAACTCAGGCAGCTCTGCGAGCTTCCACGTCTCTCCCTGGGCAACCACGTCCACTCTCAGGACTGCAACCACCAGCGGCACAACTTTCACCCCGACATCTGTATTTCCAACTTCTGCCTCTCTACTAGGCACTGGAAAAGCATTTTCTAAATCCTACAGGGTCTTTCCACCTTGATATCCCATAAGTACTGTCAAGTCAACACGATCTGAATCTGAATTAAGGCTGCCTGGACCAGTGAGGAAACCTCAGTAGCGTATCACTGGAATGAAAGAGGAGAGGGTGCATTCCCCCGTGTCAAGGAAAACATAACGTGAGAGAGCCACTGAAATGAGGGAGGGAGCGACTCTCCAAAGAACCTATAAAAGCGCCCACAAAAGAACAAGTCAGGTTTACATCTGCCATCGCCAGAAGAAACCAATGGCAAACTGATGTCACTCTTTAAGACCCTCTGCGCTTCATCACCCCTACCTACCCAGTCTACTCTGAAGCAGCCAGAGCTGCCCGGTGAGTAGAGGAGGAGGAGCAGATGTGTTAGAGGGAAAACAAGGAAAAGAAGCCCGCAGAACTCAGAACTCTCTTCCCCATGATGGGCTTCACATCTACAGCAAACAGAAACTGCAAGAGAAGGACAAGGTTTACCTTTGAGTGAATAAAATACGTATTACATTGGACTAGACCAGACATGATCTTACTAAACTGAGGCTATGTTTATGGATAAAAGTTATTGAAAGATTTATGTTAATCTGAGAGAAGCCAAGAAGCAACTGAGTATGTCTTAGATTTCATCCAGGGACAGAAAACCCAGCCCCACAGAATGGACTGAACAGGCAATGAGAGGAGAGGAAAAGAGAATAAAGTAAATTTCTGATGGACACTTTGAATCCTGTTTGTTCACCATTATGGTCACATATGATCTCATTCCCTGGCAAGCTACGCCAAACCTGCCAAAGTCATTTAGTCCTTTTCCCATTCCCCAGCTCCCCATGACTACCTAAGAGACAATTTCATCATCAATCATGGACTGCCCATACAAATGCCCCCACGGCCGTCCAAAGTTGCCAAGGTCACGGCAACTCCCCTCCCCCACACCTGCTACAATCCCTTGCTGCTGAAGGTCCCTCCTCTAATCCTTTCCCCACTGCCACAGTTGCCAGCTACTGCTTTCCTCCTTCCAATACAGCCATCATCTCCTGGGTCCTCCACCTTCTCCCTACACTGCATCTCTCATCTTGTTGTCCCACATAAACCCATTCCCAGGGCTCCATCTATGACTACCACACTTCTGCTATCATCTCTGTCCACAACACCTAGAATGTCTGCCACCACCCAGACTGGTATGGTGTCATCCCCTGATGGCATACCTGCCCCAATCTCATCTTTTCTCTCATCCTCAACCTCCTAGTAGTCATTGCAATAATCCCTGCCCTATTCCCTTTCTCTACCCAGGTTCCTATTCTATGCGCCTGATGACCTCTTTCCCCCAGCGCTATTATTATAAAGGAATCCAATACAACTCAAGTTACTGAGCCCCCTATGTACCTGGCACCATATTATGAGTAGAAATGCAAAATGAATAGACATGGGCCTTGGCCTCAAGAAGCTCAAGTCTAACACGGGAGAGAGCTCTGGATGAGAGAGGAGGGAAGGAAGACTTCTCAGAGGTGGTGCTCTCTTGGCTGGTCGAGAGAATGAAAAGAGCAATTTGGTAGGCAGGGGCACCAGAGGAAAAAGTCACTCCCAGAAGACACCACAGGAACAAAGGCACTGAGGTGTGAAATTGGACTAACGGCAGTTGTGTTCCAAAAAGCTTCGTTCCAAGTCCGTTGTTGAGAAATCACATTTTCTCAAACATATATACGTATAGTATATAAGACCCTCAGCCAATTTCTAAAAGCCTATTAAAACCAAGAGGTTCCCGGATTGGTACTAACAGTACCATCTTGAATGGTGTTTGGAGTGAGGCAGGGAAAACAAGGACTAGCACCTACAGAACTTCACCAAGCCAAGCCCTGAACTGCAGCTCACAGTCTCCAGGAACTTCAGTTAGGTGGGGGAAACTTACAGGGAAACAGCTAAATTACAACGCTGTTATGACCTAACAGGGGCAAGAACAGGATGCTATAGGAACACCTGAGCTCCCCAGCTGGGAGGAAAAACACTCCCTCATCTCCAGTCCACTGGCCAAAGTTCCTACAGTCTGGGTAGAGAATCATGGGAACATAAGTGTTCTGGTTAAAAGGGAATCTTGGTGCACAAACTAGACACATTATAGACGATTTCAGCAAGCATGTGCTTCACTTTCCAAGAAAGAAACTAGCAAAGTAGTCACCATCTTGCTCCAATAGAACGGAAGTGGCAGCAGGGGGTCTGAGTCTAGGGGGCTCCTGAGGAGGTCAGGACCATTAGGGCGATACAATTCCTGCCTAGCAACACCCATGATTAAACACACACACACACACACACACACACACACAGTCAGGAAGATGTATACGAGAGGACTGCTCACCACCTATCTCCAGCCACCTCAGACTCTAAATGTTAAACATTACTGTGAAAGGGTAAGGACAGAGGGGAAAAGCTGCATTTACAAATTACAATCCTGTGAAATTCTTTACTTAGTAAAATACAGCAGAATCACTGCAAAGTCATTGTTGCAAACTCAATGTTGTGTGGTACTCAGTAATCAGGTAATGATTCTCTTTGGCTTAGGAAGCAGAAAACTCATCAGCACGAATTCATCTTCAATAAGAGTAGAGGGTCTACTAGGTTACACCAAGGAGAGAGGGAGTGTGGGCAATGGGTTGTGGGAGGGTGGGAGATGGTGCTCCCTTCTTTAGTCTCTTCCCTGCGATTCAGTCAGGAAGATAATGTGCCACAGTACTGGTCCAAAGTACCCATTTATCACACTGAATCACACATTGTCTTTGACAATTTTACCCTCAATGGGGATTTACATTCAACATATTAATAGCAGTGTGTCTCAAGAGACAGATCACAGGATGCACAGTTATAAATTTTCATCAATAACCTGAATTGATGCTATATGATGTCCACAAAGAGGCAAACATGGTTGTGGATTATAGTCAAAATTCAAAGGTCTTGGGAAATCTAAGACATATTCATGAACACATAAAACTAATAGCAAGATCTAAGGCAAGAATGTATTTTTGCAATTGTAGCAGAAAAAAATGATGTGGTAAACAGGAATAGAGGATATATGCAGAAACCATGAGGTAATTGTACTATTAATATTATCTTTCTCAGAACTGGTCAAACCATTATTCTAGCACCAGCTCCTAGTCCTGAGGTACTAAAACTTAAGAATGCAGAAATGGTTTGAGGGTTGGACAAGATCACCAAGGAGGAAGATGAGAGAATGGAGCAGCAGGGGCTGATGGAAAGTTGGAGAAGTGCTGTTCTTCATTAGACTCAGAAAAAGGAAAACAAACCAAAAAGGAGCCTTCAACTATAAGCTGAGAAAACCACATTAGGGAAAGGAAAGGGAGTGTGAAAATTAACCCTTGGAATTAGAAACCCTAGAGAGAAGCGGAGAGGGAAAGAGGAAGGTGAGGATACAATGGTGGAGAGTCAACACCCTGGGTTCTGGGTTCACATCCCAGACCCATTCCTTACAGGGAGAGTTGCTGAACTTCTTTGTACTTCAATTCGTCACACGGTAGTTGGAGATAATAACGGCACCCATCTCTTTGGGTGGATGTCAGGGCTAAATGAGTTAATATATGTCAAGTACTTAGAACACTGCCTGGCACAAAATAAATGCTAGAAAACACTAAAATATTTTTTCACCTATCTCTGATGGCTTAAAAGTGCCAGACAAGGGGCTGGCATGGTGGCGCAGCGGTTGGGTGCATGCGCTCCACTTCAGCGGCCCAGGATTCGCAGGTTCGGATCCCAGGAGCACATCGACGCACCGCTTCTCGAGCCTTGCTGAGGCGGCGTCCCACATAAAGTAGAGGAAGATGGGCACAGATGTTAGCCCAGGGCCAATCTTCCTCGGCAAAAAGAGGAGGATTGGCATCGGATGTTAGCTCAGGGCTGATCGTCCTCACACACACAAAAAAAAGGGCCAGACAGGGCATTGAGTAAGATTCCCCAAGCCCTTTCAACCCTACAATTAAAGTCTAATAATAACAAAGTAATTATATATATACAGAGAGAGAGAGACGGACAGACACTCAAAAAGGCAATAAAATATTGATCTGTCTTCTTTTCCCTAAAAAAAATTTTCCTTAAAAAAAAAGAGACAGCAAATAATCATTGCAATAGCTTAGTAAAACCCATAAGCCTATTTTTTTAAATAAAAATTAAAAGACAGTAAACAGACCAGACAGAATCTCTGTGTCCTTGTAGCTCTTCTAGAAAATTTCCCTATCAATTAAACACACACATACACCCACACTACCCTTAATTTTTTTTAACATGCATTCTCCAGGTTTCTGAGCTAGTGATTTATCTAGATAGGTTTACTGTTTCACTTAGCAGGAGGATTGCTAATCAATCCTTGTCACCTATCTCTATTTTTCTGTTTATACTTTGAAGTCAAGGGCATCAGTCAAGATGAACTAATACTGCTAGAACATTTGCAACAAAAAAGGTATATAACGAATATTCTCAAAGCACCAAACAAGTTTAAGGAAAAATAAGTATAAAAATAATGGTTCAATCTCAGCATTCAAAATCTTTAATGC